AGATCAGGTATGGTGCACTGCAATAAGGCGCTGCTTGGACCATCTGCAGCAAGGCTGGGGCCACGGTGGGATTTGGAACTGCAGGTGTAACAGGTTGCCGCAAAGCTTGAGCATACAACATGCGGGGGAAGTCACTGGGTGGTTGATACTCCCGCATAAAAGATGTTTCCCTTAAGGCATGCTGAACTTCATCTCGGACAACGCTGGACAACTAAGAGATAGTGGGCTGCGAAGGCTCTGACAGCTTCTGGAGTTTTTCGCGGATGACTGAACGCATGAGCTCTCGGAGGAAATCCATTTGGCCACCGAAAGCCCCTAAGTAGTCCATAGTTGAAGCGTTGACGTGCCGCTCGTATAATGGGGTCCGGTGCCCAGGAGGGCTTTCGATGGTGACGGCTTCTGTGAGAAATTCTGACACAAACTTGGGTGGACTGCGCACAAGCCTACCGAAAAGCTGCTCTTTCATCCCGCGCATGAGGTGCCATATCTTCTTTTCTTTTGGCATGCCGGGATCAGCTCGATGGAAAAGATGCGTCTTGTCCTCGACATACAACGCAGCCCCTTCGTTCGGCATTTGTATGCGGGACTGCAGATCGCGCTCAACTCTCTCCCGACGGTCAGGGCTGCCATATGTTCCAAGAAGTCGGCGTTTGAAGTCTTTCCATGATGTAAGAATACAAGCCCGGTTCTCATACCATACACGTGCGCCGTCCAAAAGACTGAAATAGACGTGCCGCAGTTTGTTTGCACGGCAATGAACGGCAACGAGACGTGCACAGCAACGAACTCCTAATGAACAAGCCAATTATCGACATCCTCAAGTGCAGTGCCATGAACGGGATTAGGCGTTCGCGGTGGGAGTAAGGTGCAGTTAAGCGGCGTTGTGCCGTTCGTACCGATTGGGTTGGTGTCGGTAGGGCTGGTCGAAGCTGCCCTGTTGTTTGCGAGGAGCCCAAACTCAGGGGATTGACCTCGGATTCTTCTGCTGGCACGGTGCACAGGAGTGACCACCGGTACGACGCTTGAGTTCTTGCTATGTGGAGGGGTACGGTGCATAGATTATCCAGCATGCCCACCAGTTTGTCACGCACCAAGAGCCGTAGAGACAAGACAGGAACAGCGGGGCAGAAAGACGCAAGCGTGTATTTTCAAACTAAGCACTAATACACACTTCTTCTTCGTTCTCTTTGCCCTTTTCGGATGGCTAGGGCTTGCCGGATCAGAACTTTAGGTGGAAATATTTACGGGAAGGATTTCTTAGCCTCCTTTTTCTGCGGAGCGAACATCGGGTCGTCTGCGCACGTGCTTTTATCGTAAGCGAAGAAGAGGGAGGGGGAGGCGCTAATGGTTACCGCGCTATCGCGGAATGATTAGTACGCGGTCCTTGCCCCAACAACAGGCGGAAGCTTCCACGGGCTGCGCTGTCAACACAAAAAAGAGTGTCAGTATAGTAAGTGGAGTGTCCGTCCAAATATAGATGCGCTCTAGACATAAGTACGTGCAGGCTATATAGACATAAGTACGTAAAGCTCTAAGGTTGTGTCGCCGCTGGCGACACAACTTTGCAGCCCTTAAGGCGACAATACACTTCGACGTGACCCGGCGCGCGCGCGCGCGGTGGTTGCGCTGCGTCACGCCAGGTTGGCTACGCCGCGCCAGGCGTATGTCCGTCCCCCTACAGTTCAACGTCGCGCAGCTGCCGCAGCCGGAGTAGCGCATGCGCAGAAAACCGCGCCGCTCCGCGCCGCCTGTGGTGGAACATCGAAACAAATCTTTTCGCGCGCTATCTCTGTCGGTAGCGATCACCACCGCGGACCGGACTGTTTTCTCGGCGATGGCACGGACACAGACACATGCGGCAAGACGAAAGATTATTCTCGCGTTGTTGGTGCGTCGTCTGCGTCGCAAGAGAAACAGGTCTCTCTACATAAGGGATATATTTGAGAAGCGTCCAGAGTATGGAGAATACCACCACCTAGTACAGGAGCTTCGGCACAGTGATCCTGAATATCATTTCAAGTATTTCAGGTAAGTGAAAACGTTGCTCCTTTCGGAATTGTGTAGCTTCAGCTCGGATAAGTATGTTATACGTAACTGTCATGCATTTGTCGCACGCAGGATGACAAAGGCATCATTCGACAAGCTGCTGAGCCTTGTTTACCACAGGCTTGTTCATCCTCCAACTCACAGGAGACCCATTTCACCGGCAGAGAGGCTCGCGGTGACATTGAGGTAAAATATATGCTGATCATATTTGCTAGCAGTTAGCCAATGCGGCCACGAGCCGACGTGCATGCATGTGTACTGTTGTTCTAGAAAATTACGCTTTTTGCTGACATGTCGCAAGAATTCGTTCCCGTAATATGCTTTTTTTTTTTCGTGGTCCCTACTTTTCGTAATTTCGAAGATACGGAACCCACGTATTCACCTCCCTAAACTTCCCCGTGCATGACATTAAAGTAAACACTGGTTCGCGTTAACTTTTTTTTTTCTTGATCGGTTATATTTCCGAAAAGTTTCACCGCGTATAATAGTTCTTCCTATGCAGCCTATATAGAGTCACCGACGAACTATTCTCGCTACTGTCTGTGGCCCTATGGCGTCTGTGAAACGCGATGCAGACATTAAAGAATATATGTATGCTGATAACACTTTCGTTTAGTGTAAACATGTATGTCAAAATATTTGAACCGTAATTATATGGACTGTTCTTTTAACAACTTTGCAGATTTCTGGCCACAGGAGGGTCCATGGAGGACATTGCATTGAGCTTCCGAATGCATGCTTCTACTGTAGCTAGGATACTGAAGGAGACATTACCAGCAATCTGGGACTGCTTGAGGCCCCTGGTACTCGCACGCCCAAGCACACAGAGGTGGCGCGACATAGCTAAGGAATACCATGACAAATGGGATTTTCCAAACACAATAGGGAGCATTGATGGCAAGCATTTTGCGATCAAATGTCCTAACAAGAGTGGCTCCGACTTTTACAATTATAAAGGTTTCTATTCACTAATTATGCTGGCTATAGCAGACGCCAAATATAGATTTCTAATGGTGGACATCGGAGCCCAAGGCCGATATTCAGACGGTTCTTTATTCAAGGGAAGTCTCCTCCAGGCAGTTTTTGAAAAGGGTGCTTTGGGGCTGCCTTCAAATATTTCGCAGTGGCCACTTTGTTTGGTTGGTGATGCAGCCTTCCCTTTGCGGACCTACTTGATGCGGCCCTACCCTGGGAGAAAGCTGGATGATAGGAAAAAGGTCTTCAATTACCGCTTGTCGAGGGCACGCAGGTGCATTGAAAATGCTTTCGGCATTCTGGTCTCCCGGTGGCGGGTGTTTCTTGGAACGGTGCAAGGCGCGCCAGAGCTCCTCCACAACATGATTCAGGCTGCCGTATGTTTGCACAATTTTCTTATGGAGGACACTGCCTACTGCCCTGACGAGTACAGCGACACGCTGTGCGGCGAGACGGTGCATGACGGAGAATGGCGCCACACTGTCACTGAAATTGGCACAAAGACAGTGCCGTCAAACAACCGCCCCACCTCAGCTGCCATGGCAATGAGGGACGAAGTAGCAGACTATTTTATGTCTCCAGAAGGTTCATTGCCGTGGCAGCTGAAGGTTGTCAGGCGATGCTAAAATCTCCTGTAAACATACATGCATAGTTTGTACCCTTAATGTTCTCTTCCTTTATTCCTAGCAGAATACAGTGCATTTAAGTACTGTGTTTTGTAAGACTGTATTATATGTAATACTTTAAGTATTTTTGCCGCATTTCTCTTAAGTTTAGCACTGCCTTACAAACAGATTTTTTGTGGATTTTTCATTGCTGTTTGTTTATGTGCTTGAACTATGTGCATATTTTGCTGGTTTTATACGCAGGCAATCCACCGCTTTTTATGTTACCAAGAATTGTAGTTTTCATTCTTTTTCTGAGTAATCTGATTATTTCCGCATTCAGTTATATTTGTAACACTGTTTTTCAAGCACATTATTTTAAGCATTTTTGGCTCTTATGTGTTTTTTCTGCCATTTTTCTGTGGTGCCCCCTTTCCTAAGGTACCTTGAAATAAGCAAATAAAGCATTCACGTTTTTTTTAGTCTTTCAACTAATACAATGTGATTTCGGAAATTTCACCCTGACAGGTTAATTTCAAACCCTTCTTGCATAGGGTTTGTTAGAAATGTACGCCAGTAAGTGAAAATCGATGACCAACAAGCTGTTATTTTGTTATATGTAAGCTAAAAGCACACTGTAGCGAATGTTTTGAACCGCGAGGCATTTGTGTGTCTTTTTATATCAAGTGTGCATGGCAGAGGTCTGTGAGCTCGTTGTTTTTAAAACATTTACCGCATGCATAGATAACATAGAGAGCATCACGTAGAAAAAATGGAATTTAATGATAACTTTTGAATGAAGTGCACAATAAATCAAGAGCAGTTACACTTACCTATGTGTTAATAACATGATATACTTGTGTGCAACACAGAGATAAAAATGCAGCAAGTGAAAAACAAAAATGGAGATATTCAGATAATTTTACACACACACACAAGGTGTACGTATGCGTGTTATCTCAACTGCCAGCCTGCGTTGTCTGCTTGTTCTGGGATGTTGCATTGGAAGAATATGAACAAACCTCTGAAATGTGTAGAAAAAACACCTGAGAATAAAACATTCATTGTCACGGTGGAATGGAGCCCTTTGTTTGATGCTGCATGAAGTCTGTTCCCTATGTATTAGACATATTGTGAAACTTTTGTACTACTATATACAATGCTCAAATACATTGCATGTGGCAAAAGTGAAACGTTTGATAAGGTGCACAATAACATGAAAAATAGGCAAAAATATCTGTCACATATTCTAAGACATTGCCACATTGGAAAGACAGACTAGACATGCAAAACAAGTGCACTTTTTAAAGCATGTCATGCTGGAAATTCGCGCAATAAACAGAATACCACTCTTAATTTAATGCCAGAAAGAGATCTTGGATAGTAATGGAACACACATCACCAAGAAAGAAATGCTCACAGTAACATACTATGTGGCGTTCAAGATACATAATGTTGTATACATATTGTCCGTGTACTGGCACTTAATATATTTTTTCACAGCATTGGTAAACAGCGTATCACACTTGCATTATATCACATTTGTATTCTCTGTATTGATAACCCGGCATGGAAGCTTAGCAGGCGAAGTGTAGCTCTGCGAATAACGATGGTTTGTTTCTGAACCTTGTGGCCGCATATGGATAGGGGCGAAATGGCAGAACACCCATGTACTTGAATTTAGCAGCTTCATAGTGTATCACAGGCAGTCAAAATTAACTCCATTTAGAGTGTGCCTCATAATGAGATCATGGTTTTGGCATGTAGGAAACCATAAATTGCATTTGTATCGATTTGCTACTTTTTAATGCGATAGCATTTAGGAAATTGTTTCGCAGAATATTCGGTGTCGGCATCGCCCACGAGCAAAAAGAGAAGCATAACAAACAAGAAAGCAAGTAGACCTTACATGATTTCTGATGCGAACATAGTACATTTACGCTATCCTGTTACCTCTAGAAAACTTATAATTTTTAAAGTGCAGCAGTACTTAAAGAGAAAAAAACATATTCAAGAATTATCATAACCAAAGTTTAACTAATGTTGATGGTGTGCACATCGTTTTCTTCCTCCATTTCTGCAATCAATGTCATTATTCGTGCTTTGCATTTCAGTGCCACCTTACGTGGCATGTTGTCTAAGCTGAGGCCAATGGATATTCCAAAGGCCTCATTTTCTCCCATTTTGCTGTCGAGTTTGCTCAACAGCTGCTCTTCAAAGTTGTCGTTCTTTTTTCCTTTTTTATGCTTTGCTGCAGCCTCTTCTTTACCGGTTTCCGGTGGCCGTTCTGCCAATGGTGGCGACGTTGCTGGCATCGATAGCTCCTGTAGGGAATCCATGGGACTTTCAACACCTGAGGGTGATGGCGGCGTATTTCCCATGGTTGCAAAGATGCTCTCGGCCGTCTCGCCATCATCACCATAAGTGGCTAGCTCCAGACTGCATGTCATTCTGCAGAGAAAATGCATACATTGTTGTAAAGGGAAACAGGTGCACGACTGTCAACTAAAAGCATACTTCTGTCCCCTTTAAATTTGGATGCATCGCTCGCTCAGAATGCCGAACGATTATTCGGACCAATAGTATCAAGTGTAAACTACAATACCGCTCTACTCACTTAAAAAAAAAAAAACGGGTTTCATAAGTGGCGTGCCAATCGCGGAGCCATCCACACGTGGATAACTCAGCTATGTATACTTCCAAGGGAATCGGCACTAGCTTTTGGCTATGGGACCGTACAGTTTGTGCCTATTTTGTATAACATATGTTTATTTTTATTTATTTATAAATACTGCTGGCCAGAGGCCAAAGCAGGAAGGGCAAGATAATACAGTCTTCATACACATTTCAAAACAACATCAACAATAAAGAAAGTGGAAAGCGTGACATATTTATATAAAAGCAACAAAAGGAAAGAGGGGGGAGAGAAAAGAGGAAATAGTTGGAATAGTTTAGAAAAACAACTTCAAATTTCAGCGTAAATAAGATCGGGAGAGTGTAAACTGCTTGCAGGCAAATCGTTCCACTCTTCAATGATACGAGGAAAGAAGGAAAATTTGAACAAGTTAGTACGAGCAAAATATGGTGTTAAAGAAAGTGCGTGTGAATGCCGAGTCTGGAGTGTTCTTAGTGGTGTGAGGTAGGGGTCAGGGTTTAGAGCAAATTTGCGGTTAAAAAGTTGGTACAAAAATTTGAGACGTAAGAATCTGCGTCTCGACTGCAAAGATATGATACCATTTGAAAGCATTACACTAGTTACAGAACTACCAGGCTTGTAAAGAGAATAAATGAAACGAACTGCCCTCCGCTGAATTTTTTCTAATGCATCAATGTTAGTTTTAGTATAAGGATCCCAGGCAATGCATGCATATTCTAATTTAGGGAGAATCAAGGATTTGTAAGCTAAAAATTTCACTTTCGTAGGAGCATCCTTAAGTTTGTGCCTTAGCATGCATAATTTGCGGAAAGCTGCGGAAGAAACTTGTTTAATGTGGGAATTCCAACTTAAATTATTCGTTAGAGTGACACCAAGATACTTGTATTCCTTAACTTCTTTAAGAGGTTGGTTAGAGAGCGTGTAGTCAGTTAGTACTGGCTTTTTCTTGTTAGTGACACGGAGCAGAACTGATTTATCCAAGTTTAGTTTCATCCCCCATTGATTGCACCATAAACATATATTGTTTAGAGTGGACTGGAGAGCTGCTTGGTCATTAGAACTATTTATCGAGTTGAACAGAATACAATCATCTGCAAAAAGTCGAACGTTAACAGGTGGGTTTACACAATTTACTACATCGTTACAGTGTATCAAAAATAGTAGGGGACCGAGTACACTGCCCTGTGGGACACCTGAAGTAACCGGCAGAAGAAATGAGTTCTGATTATTAATGCACACAAACTGGGAGCGATCAGACAGGTGGTTTGAGTTTCTTATATGTGTGCAATAAGAAACTCAAATGAGAGCAAAAATTTTGTCGAAGTACTCAGTGTTTGCTATTTCGTGCAAGGATTAAAGGGACAGTTGTATAGTACCCTGAACATTCTATGGAGGATGAAATAAGTGGGCGCGGGCCGAGGCAAGTACAACAAACTCGTATATCTTAAGTGAACACACAAAAAATGTTACTGATGTGCACTCTGAAAACGCAAAACGAATCACGATCGCGTAAAGGGCACAGAAAACTCCCTCTGCTTCACTGCATGACACGATTGTGGTGTGCGGAAACCTTTATACAAGAAAGCAAGAAACCCAGTCATAAAAACATAGTCGTCTAAGTGTACGCAATATAAGCAGGTATGAATGTGATCACACAACTTCAAAAATGCTTAACTTACTTCCTCTGACGGCCGCAGTGTTTGTAAAAGGCCATGGACTCTGTGAATTCCCAGGCCCGTCGAGACACGTAGCCGCTGCCACTCCTTTTCGTCTCTTCAATAGCTTTGAGTTCGCGAGTGTACCGATCCCTCAGCCGCTTCCACAGTTTCAGGCACTCATCGACTGAAACAGGGAAAACAAGACAACAAACAGGCGCTGAATGCACAGCATGTCCGGACACGTATACAATGCCAGAGGAGGCACTGACAATACACACACGTGTGTTGCACCGACGTACCTTTTGAGAGGCCGGAGTACACACGTATCTGCTCCCACGCGTTGCTTTTTCGCTCCGCATCCCGGTAATCCATTCTTTTGGTGTCGTAGACACAAGGATGTTGCTGGACGGCGTCCAAAAACCTCTCGATTTGAGAGCCGCACAGGTCCGGTACGCTTGCTTGCGAAGACGCCATCTTCTTCTGACAGCTCGCCGAGTAGCGAGTCTCTACTTCGACGAGAGAGGGCGCTAGGCGCTAACTTTCTTGGCGTGGTCGGCGCGAAATGCACTCGGTTGCATTCGGCGCCGGACGACGCCAGAGCGCGCTAGATGCCGCCGTTCGCGTCGGCGCCAGGTGCCGCCGGACTATAGAGGGTCGCGTTTTCGCCAACGTAACGTCGCCATGACGCGCGCGCGCGCGCGCGCGCGCCACGTCGGAGTGTATTGCCTCCTTTAGAAGGCGCTTCTCATCAATGTCGTCGCCACGCGCTAGCCTTGTTGTGGTCATCTACTGTAGCCGCGCTGCCTAAAACTTTTATACTTAGCAAGAATATAATAACGGCAAGTGTTATTGCTCCTAAAAATGCTAACCTTGCTTTGTAAAACATTTTAGTATATTGCTGTCGCATTCATTGCCTCACGCTTTTGGAGAAACTGTGACTTTTTTCTTTCAACTTTCGTGCCACTATTCCGCGAGCGCCGTCATGTGGTGCAGAATGACGTAATTTGTTCTTAATTGCTGCGGAGAAGGCGCCTTTAGGGACCCGATGGCGCGGAATGATGCTGATGCTGATGCTGATGACCTTTGATGGATGGCGCTTACCCACAAAGGGGGATGGGCCAAGAACTGGGCGGCAGGATACTTAAATGAAACTAAACTGAAAATGAAGCCGATCTGAAAAAGTAGCTTAAAATAATACTACCAAAAAACAAAAATGTGTGCTGAGCAAGCCGGCAAACTATCGTTTGTTTTTGAAAGACATAACTACGAATAATAAACTAAAGATCTGAAAAGGTAGTGGTTCACTAGCATGGTAATCTTTTAGTTGCGTGGATGTAATCAAACACGCGGAATATAAGCCAATTTGTTTCTGACAGCTTCGTTTTCTTCGTTTGTCTAGTAAGAGAAGCAGCTGTGAATGATGAATAATGAATAATGTCACATTGGAAGTGGTCATCAGTGTAGCCGTACGTGACAAAGTAGCTGAAAAGGCTAGTAAGTTGTAGATATTTAGGATGAACAGCTGAAAAAAAAACAGTCTCATGGGAAGACAACACAGGTCAGCTTACAGAGCAACATAGCTACTTTCGTCCTGTTCGTTTCCTTTCGGTGTCCTTGTTTTCCACCACTATTTACCCTATATAAAACACCGAATGAGCATTATTTTTTGGCAACGGTAATTGATGAGTTCACTTAAGCGTCCAAAACGCACCAGCCTGATTGTCGACCATTATAGGATGACATTTCTTTTAATTGCTCCACAAGAAAAGTAATTCGTGTCTTTCAGTCAAACGAGCGAAAGTCAAAAGATGCGAAAATTTAATCACACCATTTCTTGTCGCGAGGTTCCACGTTGTAGCAAGTAAAATTTTTAGCTCAAGGCGTGCACCAGAAAGCTGTAGTTATGAAATTGGCTTCCGCTGTAGTATTCTCAGTGCACGTGACTCGATAAACTAATGCACTTTTTGTCAAATCCAGCCTTCACTAAATTCAATACAGCTTTGGTTCACTCTTCGAAATTACTGAACACTTCTGTCGCCCAATTCACATTGATTTATCTCTTAAAAAGTTGTCCATGTAAGTGTTCCTCGATTTAATTATCACTTGGCTCTCCTAATATGCATTTTGTTGGGCATATAAGTCACTGCACCATGTAGCTCTGCACCACATAGCTACACCACCTAAGAGATCGGTGAAACGCTGTGAAAAATCATTTATTTTTAAGGTGCGAAACAACAGATTCACAAGAAACAACACTGGACAGATCACCTTACTTCTTCTGAATTTGTTGTTCCACGCCTTAAAAAAGAAATTATGAACGTACACAAACTCGATCGCTCTACACAAAATTATCTCAAGCTCTGAAACTGTTGCTGTACGCGTCGTTTTTCCGGCGGTTGCTGGGAGCTACAAGGCCAAGCCATGCACAGCTTCGAAGTAAGGGTGCAATCTTTCTCAGTGCCTTCGAATCAGTCTGCGGCATGTCTCCTGTACTGGAACACCTCGCCGTATTTGTCTCCTGCTCACGCAGCGAGTGTCTTCACCGCGCAGTCTTTCAACATAATGGTGAACCTATGCGCAACTATGCGCACCCTTAGGGAGCATGTGCACTAACTAAAGTATTGCTGATTGCGGTCACCACTCGTGCGTCCTTAGTTATTTTGCCGATGGATATGCCCTATTGTTTATCCTTAAGAGGATGAAGCCAGCATGAGGCGTATATTTATGAATACTCTTAATTTACTTCAGTAGAACCTTCAACAAAATGTCCCTGCTTCTTGAATTCATTTTTGCCTTTATTGAACAAAAAAAGATTTACTGCGAAGATAGACTATAAGTTACTACGAGACAAAATAAGTCAAACTGTTTTTTGTGCTATGTTTGACGAGGATGTAAACAAATGATAGAGTAATTTGTAATGTTCACCTACAGATGCTGCCTCATTATGCCTCGACAACCAGTAGCAAGCACGCAAAGCCCATTTTCATTTGATTAAACTCTGTAGTCTGGAAATAATAAAACAGAAAGACCACTGGTATGCCAAGTAAACGAGCAGAAAACAAGCGCATGCAACTTTAATACATTTGTTGAGATGTTTATTGGCGGACACTTGTCGATGATGCTTGACAGCAACAGTCATTGCGGGTACCGACCCTCTGCACGAGCTGCTCTTCTTTTTGCTAAAAAGGGCGACCCACTAGAAGGCGCTGGAGAGGACGACCCGCTGTTCGAAGGCTTCGCCACAACTACCCCTGGTACGAAGAGGGAGCCGCCTGGCGACCTAACAGCTGGTTACTATGAGCGGGTCGTGGTAGGCTTTGAGGCGTTCCACGTTGACAATGTCGCGCCCTCGACGGCGCATGTCCTAAGATTGTTCGATGGGTTCGATCAAGTAATTTACAGGGGAAGTGCGTTCGACGACACGGTAGGGGCCTTCGTATTTGGACAATAGTTTTGAAGATAGGCCAGTTGATGCGGTAGGGATCGAGAGCCAGACGAGCGCTCCAGGAAGGAACGTGGGCGCGGAAGTGCTGGTGTCAGTGCGAATGCCTTTTGGCCGCTCTTGATCATGCGCTAAAGGTCCTTGCAAGCTCTCGACACTCTTCAGCAAGCTTAACTGTAGCAGAAATAGGCGTCCACTCGGACGGATCTGGCTTGTACGGAAGTATAGTGTCGATAGTGTGCGACGGGTGCCTTCCATACAATAAAAAGAAAGATGAAAAGCCAGTAGTGCTCTGAGGGGCAGTGTTATATGCGTAGGTGATGGAGGGTAGAATGGCATCCCAATTTGTGTGATCGGCGGCGACGTACTTGGAGAGCATGTCGCCGAGCGTATGGTTGAAGCGTTCAGTGAGGCCATTCGTCTGCGGATGTTAAGCAGCACTTTTGCTGTGAACAACGTTTCACTCTTTGAGAATGGCTTGGACTACTTCTGACAGGAAGACACGGCCTCGATCACTGAGCAGTTCCTGAGGTGGACACTGTCGCAGCTTGAATCGTTGGAGCAGGAAGGAGGCCAGATCGCTCGCTGTAGCCGCGGGGAGAGCGGCAGTTTCGGCGTATCGTGTGAGGTGGCCATTGCTGTCTTGGGGCTGGCTGGTCCCGACGAAGCAGAAGAAGAAGAAGACGGCCGATGGAGACGTACGTGGCCGGCGGGGACACCGACCATCCTGAACACGCGGGTTGGCACGAATCGCCGAAAGAAAAGCACAACAACTGCACTCCACGATTACCTCCACGCCTCCACGGCCACAGCCACAATGGCCCAGCGGTTACCAACCGATGTTAGTGGAAGTCGCCCATACAAATCGATGCCAACGCGCCCAAACGGCCTGGCAGGGCAAGGTAGAAGTTGCACATCTACCGGCGACAGGTGCGTTGAAGTTTTGTGGCGCTGACATTCTATGCAGGAGCCAACGAATTTCTGCACGTAGCGGTACATGTCGGGCAAAAAGTACCGTTGGCGAATGCGGTGGTAAGTCTTCGATACCCCGGAGTGCGCATATTGCGGATCAGAATGAAAGAATTCGCATTAGTCAGAGCGCAAACTGCGGGGTATGACTAGTAGCCACTGGCGGCCGTCACCGTTGTAATTGCGTCGGTAAAGGAGGTCGTCGCGAACGGTGAAATGGTGGGCTTGGTGACGCAACGCGCGAGTGGATGGAGTGGATGGATCAGTCAGCAAGTCTATCAGTGAGGCAATCCATTGATCCTTGCGCTGTTCAGTAGCAACGGCATGAATTTGCCCCACCACGGTGGTCTAGTGGCTAAGGTACTCGGCTGCTGACCCGTAGGTCGCGGGATCGAATCCCGGCTGCGGCGGCTGCATTGTCGATGGAGGCGGAAATGTTGTAGGTCCGTGTGCTCAGATTTGGGTGCACGTTAAAGAACCCCAGGTGGTCAAAATTTTTGGAGCCCTCCACTACGGCGTCTCTCATAATCATATGGTGGTTTTGGTACGTTAAACCCCACATATCGATCGATCGATAGCAACGGCATGAATGCTAATGGAAGAAACGGCAAGGTGAGACGCTGAGCCGTGGGCAATGTCGTCAGGCAAGGGAGAGCGCGACAGGGCATCGGCGTCAGCATGTTGCCTTCCGTTGCGGTAGAGCACGCGGATGTCGTAGTCTTGCAGGCGAAGTGCCCACCGGGCGAGACGGCCTGAGGGATCTTTCAATGACGACAACCAGCATAATTAGTGATGGTCGCTGACTACATCAAATGGGCGACCATACAAATAAGGTCTAAACTTGGTAAGGGCCCAGACAATTGCCAGACATTCTTTCTCAGTGACGGTGTATTGAGTTTCGGCTTTTGTAAGCGTATGGCTTGCATACGCCACGACATATTCCGGGAACCCTGGTTTGCGCTGCGTAAGGACAGCGCCGAGACCGACACCACTGGCTTCCGTGTGTACCTCTGTAGGGGCCGTAGGGTCGTAGTGGCGGAGTATGGGAGGCGACGTCAACAAATGACGAAGCGTTGTGAATGCGTCGTCACACTGT